GGATAATAGGCGGATTTTCCAGGCGCGATCACACCGCAACATCCGGGAAGTGTAGAGCTCCCATGGCGAACCCGAGGCTTCCCGCTGAAGATGCGGAGTTAAAAACGAGTACCTCCGACGTACTAGTTTCTGGAAACCACGGGGCAAGGGCTGGCATCTGATCGCATTTCCGGTGGTAGTCCATGGCATCCAGTGCGCCTGCCCATTTCCCGTCGCAAACAGGTTTTTCCCCCTAAGTCCCCACAGGATGTGCACAAGCACCCAACGGCGCATGCGCACGAAGAGGAAAGCGAAAGTTCCGTTGCTACGCAGAATCACACATGCCGTTGGGGAGATCGCACCGCTTCTTTGCCGCGCTGCAGGATCTTCGTGTGATTGCCATCTCGCCCCTACCCACGGGACCTGTGATCGGGCGGCCACGCGTTATTTTGCTCCGGGCCAAACTGCCACACACACCCCCCCGCATTTTATGGCCCGTGTGACTGGGACCTACATTGTGAAAACAGCATACAGGGAAAACCCTCCGGCTCTCCGAGTCACCTCCCTGATCTGTCACAGAATTCACAAAAAGAGGCCTAGTACAGCTCTTAGCTAAAAACCAATTCTATACTGATGTATCTGCAGCAGCGTTTATTTTTAACAACAAACCATGTTTGAATGGTGGGGGGCAGGGGAAGAGAAGAATCTTCTGAATTTATTAAAAGCTTCCCAACAAATTATAATATCTCATTCCCAAACTATAGGGTAATTTGTACTTTTCTGTACAAACCAGAGCTTGTTTATTTTTAACAACAAACCATGTTTGAATGGTGGGGGGCAGGGGAAGAGAAGAATCTTCTGAATTTACTAAAAGCTTCCCAACAAATTATAATATCTCATTCCCAAACTGTAGGGTAATTTGTACTTTTCTGTACAAACCAGAGCTTCAAACCCTGTCTTAACCTGGTTAAGAATCAGAGTTTGTAGGAAAGAATGCAAACCAGGATCTGAAAGCTGCCATGGAACAACCAATTTGTTGCCATAAAAAGCCTTTAAACTGGAAGGATGTATGACCCCCAAACCTGTTAGTCTCACAAGTTCATTCATAAAATGATAAAGCATTATTTACATTTTATCTCTAAAGCTTCAAAATACAGATCTATCTTACAGGATTACTGCAAGGATTGCTGATATAATACATGCAAACTCTTTTGAATGTCTTAAGTACTTAAGCGTTACATTTTGTGTCTATCCTCAGAGGGTCAGATTTGGCTCAGGGGCTTTCAATAAGTAATACCTAACATATATTACACACGTACGCAGTATGATGTCCATATACACAAAAACACTACTAATATTCTATTATAGATATATTAGGAATCAGTCACTAAAAGCCCCAAGTCAAACTCGCCCCACTGAGGAGCCCTCTGTAACAGTCTTCACAGAACCTGGCCACCGTCTGAGGAACAGATGGGCAATGGTCTAGCCCTTGCCACAGTCCTCTCAGTTCGCCTTCGCTTTCAGAAGAACCAGATCATGATCAGAGTTCCCTCTAAGCTGAGTTAGTATGAGCTAGCTCACAGCTTTTTAGCCTCTGGCTCACCCATTTTTGTCTCAGCTCAGGAAGGGATGGCTCCAGAGCAAATTAATGCCTGCAGTAGCCAAATCACTTGCTCACCACTTTAATGCCAGTAGCTCACAAAGTAGAAATTAGCTCACAAAGTAGACATTTTGCTCACAAGACTCCACAGCTTAGCGGGAACATTGATCATGATCCAGGACCACCCCAGCCAGTTTGCTCCAAACTGAAGCCCTTCAGCTGAGCCTGCTGCCAGCAGCCCACCGCCTTGGCCCTAAGAGGTAGGCTGCTTCAGAGCGGAGAGGCTCCATTGGGCTATTATGACTCAATCGATAGGCCGCCGGCCGCCAGAGGCATCCGGGAAACCTCGATTCACACAGAGGAACACCTGGAGCTTTCCTACAGGGGTGACGCAACGCGGGGAGGGCAAAGGAGGAGGAGACGGGGATACAACAAAGGCGCTCTCCTGGCATATAGCCCGGGAAGCCCCTGTTTGGATGGTGACGGTGGAGACGAGTCCCGTTTCCCCCCTGTCGGGCTCACCCCCCTCCTCACTGATAACACGGGGATAATTACAGCGCCCTACCTCACAAGGCTGCTGTAAGGCACACCTCGAGACTGCCAGCGCGCCTTTTCTTTCTCCCTCCCTCCCTCGGGGCTGAACCCAACAGAACGGTGGAACCTCCCCACCCCCACCCCCAACCCGGCCACGTCAGCTCCTCCGTTCCGAGCGGCTCTCTTTCCCCTCGCTGCGACTTACCAGGTTGAGCGGCCCCTCCATCACCTCCATGGGAGGCTGTGGGCACATGGGCGTCGGGGCGGCCTCTGCGCCGCACTCGCCGGTGAGCCGCTGGCCCGACCCGGCCCAGCGCGACCCGACCCGGCCTGGCTCTGCCCGAGACCAGCGGCCGTAAACACCACAACACCGAGGCGCTTCCGCCCCGCGCACGCCCGCAGCGACGTCATCGCGCCCCACGCCAATCACCGAGGCGGAGTCTCACTCCGACGGGCACCGCCTCCTCGCCTCCTTTCCGCCGCCCCGCGAGAACTGTGGCTGCCATGACAACAGCGGCCGCTGGAAGTAGGCCCGGCCTCCGACCGTTGACGAACGGCCGTTACTCTTCCTCAGGCACCTTCTGAAAGGAGGGCTCGACCTGTCATTCTCTTCAGCTGCTCCGCCCCCTCGTTAGCGGTTGGTTAAAAGGCCAGTCCTCGTTTGATGAGCCTTTCCTTCTCAGACGGGTTTCCTCGTTTGTCCACTGAGCGCCCGGTGCTCGTGTGTGCGTGGGGGGTTAAGTTCTGGAGTGGGCGGGTCTTTCGGAATTCTGGTCAGGGCGTGGGCGTGGCTGTTTCTCGCGCCTCGTGGCGGGGTTCCGGACGGTCAGTCTCGTGACGTGTGCAGAGGCGTGAGCGGTGTTTTGTTATGTAGGCGGGTTTTTCCCGCGCCTGGCCTGGCCGTCCGTTGGCGTAGGCGAGTTCGGCCGTTGCGGTGGGAGAACTGAACGAAATCCCAACGGTGCTTCCGACGGTATCGGAGTAACAACAATGTATTGCCGGGCAGTGTTCCCTCTAAGCTGAGTCAGTGTGCGCTAGTTCACAGTTTTTTAGCCTCTGCCTCACACCCTTTTGTCTTAGCTCAGGAAGGGATGTCTCCAGAGCAAACTAATTTATGCAACAGCCAAAGAGCTCACTCACCACTTCAATGCCAGTAGCTCACAAAGTAGAATTTTTGCTCACAAGACTCCATAGCTTAGAGGGAGCATTGTTGCCGGGTAGAAGCTTTTCGTAAGCTACGGCTCATTGCTTCAGACGCGGCAAACACATTTCATGCCCTTCATGAACGAAGGGGGGAAAAGGGCCGCCTTCCCGCTGGTAAAAGTCACCTGGCGAGGCTGGCATCCGTGAGTGATCAGGGTGATCCTCACCTCGCCTGGGAACGGGCTGTTTCGGTGTCGCCTGAGCCGATGAAGGCCGAGGGTTCCGAGGGAAGAAGACTCGAGCTCACTCACTTTGAGGCAGTTTACTATGATCCCGAGTGAGCAAACGAGCCTTTGGCTGCTCCGTTTTACAGCTGTTGGTGATTAAAGCAGGAGTCTAGGAGCACTTTAAAGACTCGCTGGGGGACGGGACCTCTCTCTTATTTTGTGTCGTTAGTCAGTGCCGGATTTACGCATAAACTAAATAAACTACAGCTTAGGGTCTCGCAATCTGCTGGGGCCTCAAATAAAGAAACAAAAAAAAAAAGATTTTAAAAATCTCATAGAAAAATAACGCAAATGAAGTCAGACATATCACAATGATAAATTCTAAATAATTTTAAATCTGCAAAAATATAGGTAAAGGTTTCCTTTGCTCAAAAGCCAGTTCCAGAGAGGGCCCTGCAGGAATATCACTCACTGGGTTGAATGGCGCTTCCTCATCTGCCTCTGCAGGGAGGGGGGG